CCCCACTTCAGATGCATTACACTATCCACGTACACACACACACAGATGTATATGGGGATACACTCAGACTCAGACAAAAAGGCGTAAAATGTATAGCCTGATTACGGTTCATAATTACACCAAAAAAAACAAAAAAATTGTATTTTCCTGAGGTAATTTTCTTCTTGCGATATGTTCTTAAGTGGTAATTTTGTTACTTGCCTGCCACCCATATCGTTCCTACAGAGGAGCTACTGAAAATAAAAACGTTATCACTATGTACCTGTTAACAAGGTCTGTGTTGTGACTGTATCATAGATGTGTAATGTTGGTGTCTGATGCAGCTCTTGTCAGACAGTAGTTCAGAGTTTTGACACTCTGTCCTTGAGGTGATAAATTGCAGATATATTATAATTATTTGGCTGCTTTTTGATAGATTTTCCTGGGCAATGGTATCTGTCTCCTAATCATAAAGTCAGGCTTGTCTTTGTTTTGTCTTGTTGTATCAGTTTAGTTCCATTCAAGAAGCAATGAATCATTTTTCACAAATTTCAATCATAAGCCATAAATTAGGATAACAGACATCTTCAAATCTTTGACAATAGGTCATTTAAAAATTTTAGGACAATGGAATGAATCAAACAAACATACCAAGTCCTGAACTACAAGTCCTGAGTGATATATAAAGGAATATTAGCTCATACTTCAAAAAGAAAAGCCTCCAGATCTGAGGGGTGAAGGAGATAAATATCAGCTTTGTGTTCTGTGCTGCCATAAAGATTTAGTAAGTGTTTAGATCTGGTGACTGGGGAGGCCAGTACTGGCATTTGACATCATTGTCGTGTTTATGAAACCACTCTTGAATTTGTTCAGCAATGTGTATGGGGCATTATCATCAATATGGGAGCATTATAAGGGAACAGTGTTTGCATCATAAGACACACCTGGTTTCATATTCGTTGGTTGTTATATGACCATGCAGAGCCATCATTGGCTTTAATGGCTCCCACAAGATGGCTTCCTTTACCAACAGACACTGTAGGCTGAAAGCATCTTTTAGTTTTCTCCAACCTTAAACCCATCCAGATATAGGGGGGGGGGAAGGTGGGGGGGGCAACAATGACTCATCAGTCCATATTATTTTTTCCATTGCTCAGGGGTCCAATTTTTGTGCTCTAACCACAAGTTATGTGTCTGCCTTTGATTCAAGTGGTTTCTGAAAGGTATGTGTGTTTCTGTGTGTGGGTGCGTGTGTGTGTGACCCCACTCTGTTACTTTACGTGATCTGAGTTTCTGTTGTTCCTAAAGGCTTCCACTTTGCAATAATACCACTTACAGTTGACCTTGAAATATCTAACAGGGAAGAAATTTCACGAACTGACTTATTCCAAAGGTGGCATACTATGACAGCACCACACTTGAATTCCCTGAGCTCTTCAGAATGACCCATTCTTTCACAAATGTTTGTAAACCTGATGTATGGCTGGTCCTTGATTTTATACGCCTTTGGCAATGGGTCTGAATGAAGCCTGAATTCAGTGATTAAGAGGTATGTACCAATACTTTGTGTGTCCATATAGTGCATATGTTTGCTCGGGGTTTCAGTCAAAGGCATTAGGTGAAATGGCATGTCTTAATTGTCCATAGTGTGTGAGTTTTGTGAGTGTATATATATATATATATAATGTGCATTTTACATTGCATTCATATCATCCCTATGATTTACAGTTACAAGTTATTTTATTTAGTATAGTGTCAGTGCCATGACCCCACTCACGTTTAAGAAGATTTTCTAGACAGAGTAGTAAATTCTTAAATGAAGTGCTGCATCAAGTATATGAAACTTTCCCCCCTATTTAAAGAGATTTTATTTTTATCAAGTCATAGAAGAGAGCAATTTGATTTGAGCAGCTAGAAACTTTGGTTAATGTGACAGGAAGAAATCAGTGCAACAAAATTAGTACAGCACATACATCTCACGTAAAATGACCACCAAGAAGTACAGTAGCATTGTCTTTGTTTCGTAATCATGTGGAAATTGCTGTGTTCATTGTTGTGTTAAATTCCTCTGTGGATTTAGCACAACAATGCCATACATAACAGGATGTATTAAAGTGTTTCACAAGGGGAAAATTGTGGCATGTATTTATTAGGTCAGTGGGATTCTTTTATTTGGGACTTTAATATGGCTAAAATGTATTGTATTCCATTTCATTAATTTCTTTAAAATCTTCATTGTCAATAGGGCTACATAATTTTTATTTGTGTATTTTATTTACTCATTCATTCATTACGTGATTAACATCACCTTCTGATATTGTTTTGCATTACATCATGGGTTTTCTGTACTCTCTTTTAATAACATTTTATAATCTATGCAGATACCACATACTAAGGAAGCTTTATTGTATTACATCTATTGTTTATTGTCATTTGCTGCATTGTCATTTACTGTAACTGTACAATCAGCTTGTATTGGGTTCTTTTTATAGTGTTGCCTTTCCTGTGCATGTGTGCATTTGTGTGTGTGAGTGTGTGTGTGTGTTTATTTCTGGATTATGTTTATATTATGTTGTGGGGACCAAACGTTCCTTACAATGTGATAAACTCTGTTATTCTGACATCGAAGGGACCATTTTTCAGGTCCCCACAAAGATCTGTGGATGCAATCAAAAAACTAAAAATGTTTGTTACTTACGGTTAAGGTTAGCGCTGGGTAGGGCTTAAGGTCGTCATGTTGGCATTAGGGCTTTTTTTTGGTTGTGCTTTTTAGCTGTGAAAAGGACTCTTTTGTGGTTTGCTATCAGTTGATTTGTTTGCACCATTCATTGTATTCAATCCATTTTTTAAAGCATTACCTATAAATTCTATTCTGAGTGGAGTGTAGTTTTTGTACAAAGTCATTCGTCCTTTGACTGATGATTTTCATTTTCTCTCCAAGCACACCATTAAAAATACCTTCACAGTAATAATAAGCACGGCATCAGGCATACATACAGCATTCTGTACTGTCTGGGGTAATTGTTTTTATCAGACATGGCCAAGAATTTCTGATGAACTCCTACAGCAAGGAGGGACCAATGCTGGATTCTGAAGTTGCTGTCAGCTGTTTTGTGCTGGTCCAATGTTGCCACAAGCCAAGGATAGTAAACTGGTCAGCCATAATCAATGTTTCACTCCCCCACCTATGTAACCACTGCCCCCCCATCACAAACATTCTCCCGTGTCATGATTTGGCTGCAACACACTAGCCACCAGACCCTGGAAATTTTTATCATGGAGTAGATGGAGCTGCCTGTTCTCCCGTTTATACTGAGAGGCTTTGTAGACATGTGATGCTATTTGTTGTTCCCTATTGTAGTGCTTTACAAATCCCTGTAATGCTTTAATCCATATCCCCTTGGTCTGGATTACACTATTCTGTATACAGTTTCACAATGAGCAAGGGGGAGGGGCTTGGACCACATGGATGGTTACAAATGAAGTGTAGAGCTGTTTTTCAAAATACAGCTCTGGAAAAAAATTGAGACCGCAGCAAAGTTTTCAGTTTCACCCAAATGAGCTTGATGGGCCAAATGGCCTCCTCTCCTTTGTAAATTTCTTATGTTCTTATTTCTCAATGTATACGTATGCGCCTGTGTAAAATATGCATTTTTTTTGCATTCCAGCCTGACTCTTCCTCCCTGCTTCTCATTGATGAAGGGCGTCTTCATTGCTTTAGGGGTCTTAAAGGCTTCTAGGAGTCCTTGCAGTCTTAATTGTCCTAGCACCACTATATGTTTCCTATTCTTTTTGAAGGTCACTTGAGGTCATCCTCCAATTTATGAGGCACTGCCAGATAGGTTGATTGTCTCTGACATTAGAAAGTTGCTTTTGCCCTTTACCTGGCTGGTTTTTGGTTATTTCCAGTGTCTCCTGCTTCACCTTGTTCTTCTGTACTGCTGTCTTAGAAACTCTGAGCCCGGAAGCAGCCTGCCATATAGCCTTCTGGCAGCAGAGCTCGGGTTAAACCAGGATTTTAAAAATGCAGTTTTTCAAAAATATATAGAATGTTCTCCTATTTTTTTCAGTAGCTGTATGTACACCAGAACCAAACATAATGAATAAAAATGACTCCAATATTGCTGACACATTAGCCATATTTTTGATACCTGAACATTTTTGTGGCAGCATTACGGGGTGTAAGTAGATTCAAGAGGAACCAAACTTCAAATAAATGGTGAGAACATTCTAGAGAATATAATAACGGACTTCAGACCCACATCATTCTGCTAATTCTAATATTCTGTTGTTGAAACATTTTTTTTTAAATGTCCACATTTTCTTTTTATTATATAGGGTCAAGACATATAGATGATGCTTCAGCTTTTAAACAAATAATTTTTAAAAATGTAAATGATAAAGAGGCGTTCTTTTTGTAGAGTATAAAATCAGTGAAACATTGCCCTCTAAT